CGGGTAAATTCGTAAATTTCATAACGCCAGTAATGTGAACTTTGAATAGGCACAAAAAATCAGAATTACTACAAATAATAGCAAAAAGAGTAACAGGTAGAGATCCTTGTGAAAGAGATCGTTCAGGAAAGTACTACGTTAACCTTACCTATTTCTACCGCCAATATGTTATGAGTAACTACCAAGCACAGGACTTGGTCGTCGCGCTACATGATCTTGTATAAAAAAATAATCATTATATGACAATATGTGATAACACCTTTATTTTCTATCTAAAAAAGTGACTAGACATTATTTTTAAGAATTAATCGCCCAATATTGTGCTTAAAAAATGAAAAAAAGGATGTCGTCCAAAAAGAGAATTACGAAGTTTCCCAGCTTAGGCGACAACGGGTCCCCTTTATGAAAAGGGGTTTTTACTCGGGTTACCAATGTCAATAGTAGGTAGTGGCGGTTGATTTCAGGATAGCCGTCCATCCTCTAAGGGTAGCCGTCATGTCAACAAATATTTTACGTCAAAAATATCAGATAGTTGTGTCATTACCATTCACGGGGAACTTGGTGGCGACCATGTCTAACAATAAATTGTTAAGCTAGCCTTTATTTCATGTAATATTTTTCACGTAATATATCAGTTTATCTATAAGTAGTATTATATTATACATTTATATGGCGAACGGCTATGGAGTGGAATTCCCTGTGTGGAGAATAATCAGAATAAGCCGAAGCCCTAAACGCTATAACTTAGGTCTTTTCAAGGCGAGTTTGAAAAGGCATTTTTAAATGTCATGTGTATGCCAGTTTTGCCAAATAGTTACTTTTCTTGACTTTTGACCCTTTCTGATATTAAGAATAAAAAAATATTTTGATATTAAGTAACACTTACTTAATATCATGAAATCAGCGTATCACTCAGGTATTATGTAAATAACTTATGTTTTAAGGCAATTTTCGTAACGTTTGAACCACGGAAGAAATGTGGTCTGTGGTTTGAACGTTGAGGTGTATTAAATGTAACTATATTTGTTTTCGATTTTTAACGACTTTATTGCGTCATCTGTGAGAAATCTATTTCTACACTCTGCCAAGTTTACAACTACCAGCAGGTGACTAGAGCAGCTGACTTATTGTAATATTTAAGTATATTTGCTATCGCAAATGGTTACAAACGCATTTAAATTATACAATAAAGTAAGTCAGAGATGGTGTTGAATGGAAAAACTTTAAAAGTTTGGCAAGGCTTTGTACGCAGAAGCGTGTTTTTATTATAACTTTTCTAGCAAAAATTTAACTTTTCAGATAAAAAGAAACGTAATTTTCGACTCAAGGGCCCTGGCAACAAAACTAATCGGCACCCATCAGTAGGACTAGCATGACAGGGCGCGACTAGACATAAAACGCGAGATACTACCATTCTCGCATAGAGATCTCTCTCCTTATGTCGTGCTAGCCCTACAGGTGAGACGGAGGTTAAATTCGCACTTATTATTTCATATAAAAAAAAAATATCGAACCTATCGGTTAACACGCCCCACATGACCAAAGTTTTCGTTTATGATTGCGGCGCTTAATTAACCAATGTTTAAAATGATCATTCGTTGGTAGTTATTAAAAGAAAAACCATTTTCTTTGATGCTTAGACTATTTCCATCCTTTCAATTCAAGCTTTGATGACACTGGACTACTTTATAGCAATGTCAAAATAAAAGGTTACAACACGGAAGAACGAAACTTCGTTCCAATAAAAATCTTAGGAATTCATGAAATTGAATTTGGAACGTAGCAGTGGTTAGGCGGGAATTTGTCCCGGTTTCTATGATCATTCGATTCCGAGAAAAACGAAACGAAAATACAAAGCTTTGACGCGTTTCCGCAATTCCGTACAGTTTGTTAATACGGTGGAGTTTTACACTAGAAATACATTGCTAGTCAAGATAAATAAACAATTTCAAAAGAAGACTCATCCAAACTTTGCATTCGTAATACGTCCTATACAAAAATATCGTTAATATCTTTACCTTAGTTTATAAACTTTTAAAGTCCTGAATTATTTGAAGATGTAGAAAAAGGCCTTTGTACCAAATTTAAGGATAAACGTCTACTTCAAGTTCTTGAACTAAGTACTCATCAGGACGTTGAGTGATTTAATTATCCGACAAAAAGTTAGACGTGGCACTAACTTCAAGACTGAAGTCTTAAATTGAGTATAGGCCACACTTCGAGGCACCGGCACGCTCTTTCGTTACGAAGTTATCTTTAGGGTGGTCGTGCACTGATAGTGCCAAGTCAAGACTTCTGTTCGCAATGGAGACCAAACTTGTATGTAGTCCAGCTAGACTTCTGTCATCAGTCTACAGTCAAAATTTTTTATGACACCAAGAGATGGGACGAACAAGTAGTGAGTCTGGTGGTAAGCGACACGCCTGTAGTAGCAGGTTGCAGTGCCACTCAGAGCTTTAAATCGCAAAGGGATACTGCCACCACACCCGTCACGCGAAGACACAAGTTGACAAGGCCCATGTGCCTGTAATTTCACCAGTATCCTTACCATTCAAAACCGAAACGCACTAATGCCCACATAACTGCTTAGCGGCAGAACTAGATACGGTGGCTGTACTTCCATGGACGAACTCTTTCACAAGAACCTCTGCCGCTGCTAAGCTGCTAACATCAAGTGACAGGACGAACAAGTCGTGTGCCTGGTGGTGAGCTACGTCGCAATTATCTGAGGGGCACTGCCACTGCGCCTGTCACCCTGAGACATAAGTTGACAAGTCCCAAGGCCTCATAGACCAGACTCCAACGATCTTGAAGTAGCAGCGTGGGGGATTACGCTTAAACCAGACGATTTAAATATACCAATATGAATTGATTTTAAACGTCTTTGAAGGTTTTTGTGAATGTGGCAATAACATTCATTAGATTTCACGTGATTCAATACGATTTAGTACTGCTGGCTTGTCAATGGGACTCGAACCCAAGAGCTGCTTCATTGGAGACAAAAATTAATATCAAGTTACAATATAGTAATAAAGTTAACAGTAAATGAGATGACGCTTGATTGTAGTTAAACATTGTGAGATATTATTATCGACATCTATTGATTTTGTAATCAAAATCATATTTTGAACTGCTGGTGATTCTCATATAACAACTTTTCAGGACAGCAAAAAAAAAATTCTTCATAAATATATACCTGACACAAAATTGCTTACACTGCTAGCTATTGCACAGTTCAAGCGTAGTATGTAAGTACTTAGAAATATTTTACATGAGTTGGAATATGTTCGGACCTTTAGGTAATTTATGTTAGTGCCCCGAAGTTCATTTTGTTGAATTATAGTATGAAGTATGATTATCTGGCACATGACTTGATGTACCGAATCGCAGCTACAAATCTTTGTATATATAAAGAGTTTTTTTAACTGACTTCAAATAAGGAGGAGGTTCTCAATTCGACTGTATTATTTTTTGTATGTATGTTGCGCGATTACGCCGCATTTCTAAACCGATTTTGATGATTCTTTTTTTGTTGACAAGAGGATACCTCAGTATTGGTTACATTTGAATCTGAAGAAAATATTGCACCTCTAAGGGTGGCAAACTAGGGGATGAATCCGGTTTCGTGCACATCACGGAAGACTTATGTGGCCCGTGGTGCACATTCTGTTAAAGGATTTCAATCAAACTTGGCAGATAGTTATAATTCCAACAAAAAAGCAAACTTTTCAAGGCAGTTTTTTTTAATAAAAAGTTATTAGCAGTTTAGTTTCCACCTTTTTCTTTGATAATGTCATTGTTTTCTCCATGAACGAACATGGAGAAAACAATGATGAATGATTTCTTGGATTTGATAAACTATGAATACATTTCTTTTAGTCTTGTGGTAAGTGATAATTTGAACACTGAAGACCTCGGTAGCCTAACGGAGACCCCGTGCAGCCTAAATGTTTTTCCAGAAAAGTGAAAAGATACGAACCTTTCTTATGTGGTTTTATTCTTGACAGCGCCAGGGAATTAATTTCGTTGTTTTGGAGTAATTCCATTAAACTAGGGCAATTCCGTATACTATGAGTACATAGTATACGGAATTGGCCTAGTTTAAGACCCGGAAATTGGTATGGTAACCTTGCATTTAAATATTATTAATTATCAATCCTATGCCACTTATAATAAGAGCTGTCCGTTCAATGTGCAAAGCTGAGTGCGTCCTTAACTGTGTATCTAATAATTCATTTGACCTTTTTACTCAAACGAATATAATAGACGACACGAAGTAGGTCAAAATCATATAGTACTTACTTCAAAATATAATCCGTGGAAGCCATTTATCCAGAGCAAATCATGATAACATCGTTACTTAAATTTAAAACTGTTTGTAATTGTATGTGGATATAAAAACATTCAAAACAATGCCCATTGTTAAACTTTAGCTGGTTACTTTGAATTATCTTCAATTTACCAAAGTAAGTTTTTGCCATTTGCAATTTGCAACTGTACCTACACGTTTTGAATGTCATTCAAGCAAACAAACAGAGTCTTCTTTGTATTTCAAACTCAAATATATCTTCAATAACAAATTGCACTTGAAATCGTCACATCGATTAAAATCCACTAGTCATTCGTCCTTACGAAACAAAATGCAAGAGTTTAAAGAATTAAAATATAACAAATAACCTTTAGAATAAAGTTTTTAATTCACTGTACTTTCAAACTCGGAAATGGCAAATTTAGCAAAATCAACTCATGAATTTGTGGCTGTGTGAAGACGACTGTCAAGAACAGTATTAATATAATGTGCATCACTATTATTCACATAAAAAAATAATATTCTTCTTGACATAAATGTACTGTGATGCTAGTGCAATAATGTTAAAATTTTTAAACTTCTCTCTCTTCGCTCTCTTTTTTAAATTTCTCCAATGTCATATATAATCCCTGAAATTTAAATAGATTTTATCAATGTAAATAACAGACTCACAACAAACAAAACACCGCCCGCGTATCGTATCCGTAGCTCTGTAAAGTATCTAGTACTAAATGTCAATAGAACAAGAACAATCTGATTAATGCTTCAAAGAGCAAACGCAGTGCATAGCGTAACAGTACATCGAGTGTCCAATAAATTAGGTGCAAGATCAATCACGCCACAGTTCGCTAGCCGCTGGACGCCCGATGTTGTAAATCAGTACTGTCCGTTGCATTGTGAAACCATTGATCACATCGATACCAACCAAAAGTGTTATCCCACTACTAACGAGCCCCGCCACTCAGTCTCTTTTTAATTAAGATTGACACCGCCGTGAATAAACACGTCCTTATTAACTTATCTAAATGACGTCGCACAATAAACAAATCTCAGTGGTGCGATACACAATCTTATCAAATCAAACGATTGTGCAAATGAGCACAGTTTATCAAAGCCGCGGCGCGCGCGCAGGCCGGGCTACTGCGAGCTCCGGGGGTCCAACAAACCCTACCAACCCAGCAATTGTTACAGGCCGCATTCGACCGTCCGACGTCGCATCGAGTGAACGTCGGAAAGAAAACGACTCACGTAACTATCGTTAGAGTGAATAGCGTGCGCGTAGTCGATCATAACGTGCAATGCTCAGGGCCCCGCATGCCCCTCTACCCCTCCCAGGGCTATGGAGACCCTCCTCGACAAGTTTAAGAGGGAGCAAGGAGGGCTGCGCCGCTCCCGATCGGTCCGCGCTTCCCTACGTATGATAGGGAACCGCTGGCGATCCACCAAGGACGGGGAATCGGCCGACGAAATAGACAAACTCAAAAGGAATACCGTCGTCTTCACATCACAGATTTGGAGCAGCGACAAGGACCTTGACGTCGCTTATACTGGCATCGACGGGACGTATAAATCGAAACCATCAGCCATGGCGAAACGAAAACCGGAACCAGTGAAACAACCACGAAGAAAAAGCGGTGATATAGACTTGAATCTGAAGCCGCAAAGAACTAAAAAAGTCGAAAAATCAAAGTTTAGTGATTTGTTTTTAAATAAGAAACAAAAAAGTGCATCTGCCAAAGAGTTACTAGTGCCTGAAAAAATACCACCGAAAGCTGCAGCGATACTTCACATTCACTCACCTGAAAAGGATAAGACGAAGAAGAAATTAAAAGGAATGGGAAAATCGGAATCGGCAAAGTCAATGACAGAGCTGGTGACGCAGCCGCGAGAACGCAGAGGCTCTGAGAGCGAGCTTACGTGCCCGCACCCGTCACGTGGTTTCGTCAATCCTGCATTTGTGTACAGTACCCCACCGAAGGACCGGAAGATTCCATTGTCTCCATCAGCATACCTGAGTAAGAATATAATTGACTTTTTATTTTACGCTATTGCAATTCGCTTCATTTTCAATGGGTTTTTGTGTAAGTACAGTAAATTAAGGACAAACGTGCATAGCAGACACGAACCGTATGACCACGACCACGTTGTCGAGCGATGTTGTTGCGATTCAATGCACCTGTAATGTCACGATTACATTAGTTTGTCTTGAAATTGAAGTTATTGCTTGTCTACATAACGTGCAATTTGTTCGTTTTCCAGCGTTAATTGCCTATCTCGTACTTTCTAATGTGGTTAATGAAAATTAACGGATTTTTCAGTTCCTTATAATAACTTATCGAGCGTAGTATTCACAAATTTATTATTATAATACATGCTAGTCTTTAAAGTATGTATTATATGGGTTTTCACTGATTTCAAATAAATAAATTCAAATAATCATCCAAAAAATTATATCACAAAGATTTATCTAACCGAATATTTCTTTACTGTGATGATACATTTGTACATATTGCATTATAACAAAAATGTTCTACCACGCAGCTGTTTATCCTTCTTAAGAAAAATTTGTAATCATTTGATAAAATTTTGGTGGGAGCAACCATAGATATATATCTATGGGAGCAACCAAAGTTATTGTATTCGTGGATTTTATTAACAACTCTATTTGTTTACAAACAGCTATTACAAGTACATATCTTTGAATAATAGTTATTTTATGCAATTGTTGCATAATAGGGTCCTTAAAGTCTAGTATACTGTGTTTAGGCCACTAGGCTTTGCCGAATGAGAATTTAAGACCTAATTATGTAATGATTGCATACAATACTTTGAACGAGTAAATAAAAATAATGAAACACAACCAATATTTATTGCATATTTTGTTAAAAATCCACGATAACAAACCTAGACGAAACCCTAACAAACGCTACAAAACAAAAAACCAAAGAGTTATAATAGAAGTGTCTGGGATTAGCCAAGCTAAGTACCGCTTACATTTTAACCAATCAGGAGGCAGTTGAGCGTTTGGGTAGCGTAGTAGCGTCATATTTAATATTTTAATTAGCAAAACTCGACGTTCTTTTTTTGAAACTGATTATTAGTTCTGTGTTTTTTTTTTTTAATTTATTAAGGCTTTGGCAAAACCATCAGCCTAAACATGAAGTTTAAATATGTTTCTGTAAATATGGCCGCCACAAAGAGGATAGGCAATTTGAGGCGGCGTGCTTGGATTGACTCGGGATTCCTTAAAACGGGCCGATACGGGTATTTTATTTCGAGATTCGTATAATTTCGCGTTTTAATCTTCGATTAAGGCACAATAGCACTATCCTATTCCACTTTAAACTAGATTTCACAAAATAATTGAAAGTCAAAATAAAAACGACACTTCTCCCTTCAAAAGGTCCAGAGCGAATGTTAGTTCTGTGTTCAGAACTATAATGAAATTTTTGAGTTCAGTAGCGAGTACCATAGACAATAGAATTTTGATTCAGAATTAAAAAGAGCGCAATTATGAAATTATAATTGACAGATATCATAAACCCAAAGACCGGAAGAGGTTTAAACGTTTTAACGCGTGCAAAACTGAACTCAAAATGCATGCAAAGACGGATTATTTATAATGTACCGGTAAAAGATTTCAACATCGTTAACTGAAAAAATAATGTTTTATTAGTCTTGTGCAAGATGCTTAAAACGATTGTGGTTTTCAGTAACATCGAAGTGTTTATTTACATCTTACCGTAATTGCCTTGTAATCTTATGTCATAAACAATACAATTGAATGTACACAATACTAGATCGCTGTCAATAAAGACGTTATTGGGATACATTAAAGTCGCGTGCACGATAATCATTCGATACATTAATTGCGATTCAATCAGAGAGATCAGTTGTTACGTCAATTCTTTGCTCATTACGGTATGAATTGGTCTAATCCGTTTTTAATTGCGGTTTCATTGCTCTTTAATTGGACAATTTGTAGGATATTTGGCGAGGGCGCTCGTAAATCGATTTTGTTTCAAAATTATTTTTTAACTAGAATCTGTGCAAAAGGAATATTATATTGATTAATACGAGTTCAGGTTTTCGCGATCGTTACACAAATGAAACAATTTTTTCCGGATCTAATTCGTATATATTTGTTTTTTTTCAAACAAACCAATTTTTGGACCTTTTACAGGTCCCATGGTCATATCATGGTCAGTGACCACGGGACCTGTAAGAGCCCGAAACGCTGTTTTTATGATAAGATCTCACCCATCTCACCTTGTCGAAAGTGTCGATGAGGTCGACGATGTAGTAGCATGCACACCTAAATAATGCCTATTCACTCTCACCTTGAAAAACTCCAAGTTATAGCGTTTGGGGAACAAGTCCGCAGGTAGGGAATTCCATGCTCTAGCCGCTCGTCATATAAATGTGGAAGCGAAACGCTTAGTACGAATCCTGGGAATATTTAGAACATTTTGTTTGAAAAAATAAATATACGTGATAATCTAAAGATTCGAAAAAATAGTATCGTTTTCAATGTGCACCAACCGCGAAAACCTAAAACCCGTTATATGACGGAACATAATAAAAATCAGGGCATTATTCGCTTAGTTTCAAAACCTTTACCTAGTTTTATTGCTGACCTACAATGTACTAGCAACTATTAGTACTTTCCGGTTTTTCCTCTACACCAATAGCTTTTACAACAGTCGTAACAATTTCACAACATCGTTACAACTTCCACCTCGTTATTAAAGGTTTTATATTATCACTTAAAAATATTGCACATCATGTTACGATCATCATAATCAAGTTACGATTAGAAAAAAATATCGGCTCTAAGTGAGAATTATAGTTGATGAAACTACGAAATTTACTTTATCGATATTAACAATGGAAATAAATGGTAACATTTTATAAGTGATATTAACGAGAGCTCGGAATTGTATATAATATAATGTAATGTGTGCCAAATTGGTGTGGTTACACCAATTGCCAACTAGGGAATTCCCTGTACTATGAGTACCACATCAACGGAATGCACTCTGGGGTACTTCCAAGAACACCCAGGCCAAAACCAATTTACAACAGTTTATTTCCCAAATTGGTCCCAACGAAAATCGAACCCGGGCCCTACACATTCACCACCAACAGTGTAAACCGTTAGGCCACCGAGGTCGACATAAAAAGTAGTGGTGTGGCTTTTGTATAAAAACCACAAATACCAAATCATAAATATCACCACAAATTCTTCTGTAAACAAATAACACTACATATACAATTCCGAACTCGCTAATATCACAATATATACCTATTTCCTTTTATTTACAACGTCTAAAGGATCTATTGCAATAATTACTCAATACAGAGAAACGATAACCGGTCATGAAAAAAAGCACGAAATGTATACATAAATCAACAAACTACTCGCACTTACATTACATTTAACGGAGTTCAAATGTTGCGAATTCATAAAACAGGTTTAATAATTAAAATCATAATTGTACATTAGAATTACGTCGGTAATTGTTCATTTAACGCACCGTCGAAATAATTCGAGATTTCCAACTTTTTTCGACAACAATCCTGTGAATTTCTGAACGCATCGCTTAATTCAATGTTGCAATGTGTGAAATTTATATTTTTTTCACCGTCACGCGGAATGTTTTGGTCGTTACCTAACTGAACGATATGTGGTATGAATAAAAGCGGTTTAACTTTCCTTTGCGGTTATACATTTCTTTATTCGTTCGCTTTTACTTTTCGTAATAGGTACTATTGCAATTTATAAAACCTTTAGTTGCTTCCTGCGTTAATCTGTTTTGTTACTTGTTTCCTGTTAAAAATTACAACGATCACCATAACGCAATTCGTTATTTGCAAATTACGACTTAAAGTACCGGCAAGCTATGATGGCCGTTTTGACGTTATTCCGCAGAAAAAAAAATGTACATTGTTGTCAATAGTGACGAGCACTAAAATTTATGGATGTATAATTTTACGACAAAACTCGGCATTTGTTTTTCGAAATTAAAAAACTGAAATCTAATACGATCGTCGCTTATGGTATCGCTGTCCAGCACAACTTCTACCTCCGGCAAACTCGTCAAAGCTCAATGCAAATCAAAGCAATTTCGAATTGATGCGACTCTCATTTGAATATATTTTTTTCGATAACGATTTGGACTCACTATTGTAATCTGTTAAAACGGCCATCATAGCATGCCGGCACTGTAGAAGTGTTTATTTCATAGCAGGTATTTACAAGGCACTTAAAGAAAAATATAATACTAGACAAAACTTATTATAAAAATTTATACACTACTTAAAAAAAGTTTAAAAGGCCACACCCTGGGGCATCGTGCCCAGAAGGCTGGCAACATTTTCCCTTCGAATAGGTAAACTTATTCGTTGGCGGAAATAACTGCCAGGCCTGTTGTCGCCGGAGGCTTCTACGAGGCGATCTGACAGCTCGCTCGCTAGTTTCGCCTGTGGTCCGCAGGGACCCAGGGTTTCAACCGCCAAAGGCACAAAGCTGTAGCTGAGCAAGGTTGGTGTATTTGAACCTTTTGCTCTTATCGGCCGCTGTAATCACTTTTTAATCACATTAATTAACAGAGTCATGCAATCGTAAAATAAACCTAACTTAACCTGTCACACGTACTACAGACTCATACCTAACGATTTTGATAAAAAAAAACTGTAAATTTATATATCGCACTGCTATTACAATAGTGTTACAATTCAAAATATGTGAAATTCAAGATTATACCATTATTGAACGTAAAATTTTATTTTCTACACGTCAATAAAACTGTAGTTAGAATATTGTAAAAACGACTAAAAGATATCTACTTAACTGAAAATGAGACACGCTTTATGATTAGTTCTGGCCAAGATAGTCCTTGTTCAAAAATAGAAAATTATTTTTTCTATTTTATTTTTGAATATATTGGCAAGTTGGAAATTTTCTGTAATAAACTATAACCTATACATACGTTTTAATTATCTTTCACGGGAAGCAAGTAATCGTTTTTCGTCGATTCTGAGAAAATACACTTTTTGAGTTAATACACTATTGTATTAAGTAACAGTGCGGTAATTTTTATTTTTTTTGTATTTTTTTTAATGGTGTATAAAAACACAGCTGCGCGTTAGAGACACCGTGTGGCTCTAGAAGGC